AACATGCAATTATACTGTCTTTTATAAGTACCTACACGAGTGCTTTATGGGTGCTGTTTTTTTCGCGTGGATTTGAATTACTGTCTAGTGTCACTTGCTTTCTGCCTGAAGAATTTCCTTTGTGTTTCTTATAATACAGGCCTACTAGCAATTAATTTTCTTTTTGTTATCTGGTAACACCTTTATTTCTCCTACATTTCAAAATGATACTTTTGGATATAATATTCTTAGCTGCCAGTTTCTTTGTGTGTTTTTTCAATTTCGGCGATTTGAAATCATCCTTCTGTCTTCCGGCTCTCATCGTTCCTGATGAAACTTTACCTGTAAATCATATTGGGGTTTCACTGTATGTGAAGAGTCATTTTTCTCTTGTTGCTTTCGTGATTTTCTCCTTATCTTTAGCTTTTAAAGTTTGACTATCCTATGTCTGGACGTGAGCTCCATGTTGAACCTACTTGGTGTTTGCTGGGGGGTTGTGATGTGTAGCTTAATGTTTTTCATCAAATTTAGATGTTTCCGTCCATCTGAAGGTTTTTTCCTGCTCTTTTCCTCTACTCTGGTACTCCCATCATGTATATGGCGGTATACTTAATGATGTCCCACATTCTTCTGCGGTTCTTTTTCTTCATCATTTCTCTCTGTCCTTCAGATTGCGTAATCTCTACTGAACTATCTTCGAGTTCACTGATTCTTCAGCTAGCTGAAATATAATATTCAGCTCCTCTAGTAAATTTCTCATTTCAGTCATGATACTTCTCGACTCCAGAATTTCCATTTGGTTCTTTTAAAAATAATTTCTATTTCTTAATGATAAGTCTTTCTGTGCTACATCCACCACTGGGGGCCTTCGAAGGCAGTGTTTATTGCCTGCTTTTCTCCCCCCGTGTATGGGTAACACTTTCATGTTTCTTTGGATGTCTTATAATTTTTTGTTCTAAACTGGACACTTTACATGGAATCTTGTAACAACTCTGGATAATGATCCTCCTCCTCTGGGGGTCGTTGTTTGCTTGGTTGTCTATTTCTCTTCAAGTGTGAAGCCTGATGACGTCTCTTTTATTCTAGCTACCTAAAGGTTGCCCCTGGGTCAGCATAAGGCGCTTATTGGTCAGTAAGATTTGTATTTTACTCTTCACCATTGGATGTGTGTGCTTGGATGCTGCTAACGTAGTTCAGGGAGTTTACGTTTGGCTGACGTTCAGCCAGGGACCAGCAGCTTGGAGGTTACTTCTCTGTTCTGAGAGGGCATAGCCTTAGACATACGCACCGTTGTCCAGATGGACAAGGATGAGTGTGATTTTATTTTCAAGCCTGTTTCTAGGAGTCGCCTTTGGGTCAGAGCCACTTAGTGCCCAGTGTTCGGCCAAGTTTCTCTTGCTAGCAAAATCTACGCCGTGTTGATGGGTCTGCATGAATTGGGAAACGCTCTTAAGCCTGTCCCACATTCTGCTGATTGTCCTAAGTGGGAGCGGCCCGGCACATACATGCACACAGGCTTTTCAATCCCCAGAGATGACTGAGCTCCCAAGAGGGTCCATTCGGCTCCCTCCAGGTTTCTCTCTATAGCTCCTCACTGCTCTCCACCAAGAGCTCCGTAGAGATGGGGTTGTCCATGGTCTGTTTCAAACGAACTTAGTCCCTAGGCAGAGCTGTGGGACTCTTTGTCCTCATCACACACCTTCGCCCTTAGAGTCTCTGTCCCACTGAAGTGGAGCTGCGGGGTGGGCTGGAGGTCCAGAGTGAGACTACCGCTCTCCGATGGGGCACGGGCAAGCTGGCAGCCCCCGGCATTTTCAGGTTTCTTCTCCTCGAGTGAAAACGTCAGCATTTGAGTAAGCTGGGGTGGAGAGATAACGGCCCCAGTATTCTCAGCCTGCTCACGGAGTGGGGGCCGAGGGCTGGAAGGGAGCTCCAGTACTCGTGGCTGTGTCTGCCTGGAACAGAGTTTCTGCAACACAGGGTCGGGGGAACGAGAAATGCGGGCAGCCACCCCTGCCAGGGTGAAGCCACAGCCCCGGCTCCAGCGCGTTCGGCACGTTGCCAGGGCAGAGCAGCCGACAGTGCTTCTGTCCCACGGACCTGTGGGCTGAAGGGCCAGCGAGGCCTTAAGTGCCACAGACTTGCTGTTCTTGCCGAGACCCGACGGGTTTTCTTGAATGATTGTTTCTTCCTTTACTATATCTATATGCTCTTTAGACAATTTCTAGAGACTAAATGATTGTTTTTTAAACAGCTAATTTTTATAGTTAAGCTGATCTTTTGTTGGAGAGAGGTTCACGGAGCTCCCTAGTTCACCAGTCTGGGAGTCTCGCCCTCCAATACACAGTTGAGCCCTGAACAACACGGGTTCGAACAGTGCGGATCGAATTATACACGGATTGTGTTGTTCAGGGGTCAACTGTATTTTCCGAACGTAACTTCTGAGTGGGAATAGGGTCCGGCAAACGGAAATGAACTGTGCATCAGGAAGCAGGGTTTTCGTGCCAACCTGGCCTCTGCGATTTCCTCTGAAGTTCGGTGTCCGCATTTGGAGAATGAGGAAATTGTATTACAGGACTTCGAAATTCCTTCTAACTCTAAAATCCTATTTCATGAAGTATAAATTGAACAGAAAGCCATCAGTGAAACATTCTACCATAGCTGTGTGAGATCAGGAAATATGGAATCTACTGCCATTTCAAAACCAAAACTGACCCGAGCTGTTTGTGATTAGAACAGGTGCTTCATTTCCAACTCCCTCCAGCCAGTCAAAATGCACGTTTAATGCACAGTTTGCAGTCAAGACATTTCTCCACCGCGAAGATTTCCTTCCTGATCATTGGAAATGAAAAACGGGGCAACGGAAAGTTGCCTTTCACTGACCGGCCATCCAAAACCCGACAGCTTAATGCGAAGTGAAAGCAGCATAATGCGCTACCGTTTTATCCAGATTGGAAGCTCTGCGAGCGATTACCTTCTCTCTGAGACAATTCCAAGTGTTCACCTGCCGCATAAAGCTCCGAGGCCACACTCTGAGTGTCTCGGTATCTGTACTCGTTCTGAGTGCGTGAATGACAAAATGTCAGTTCTCCATATGCACTGCAGAAAACACTTGCTTCGGTGGGACAGTCACTGCTAGTCACAAAGATGTGTTGTTGATTTAGTACTGATTATCTGCACACACTGCCATAACAGTAAAACTGTCATCAACGGCCTATCTCGCTGAGTCATTCTGTCTTAACTAATCAGTTTTAACCAGCTTATTTGACTTAATATTGTCACTGAATATACCATTTACATTCAAAATCTATATACTCGGAGTGGGGAGAGAAGGGGCCTTGCTATAATTTAAGGAAGTTGTCATGACAAATATACTTGAGTGTTTTCACGACTGATCCACAACAGAGTGGCCTATGATGAAACTGCAGGGTAAGAGAATCACGAATGTTCACTGGCGAAGTTGCTCCTCACTGACACGTCCAGCAGTTAGGAAGGACAGAGCGAGCTGGCAGTGTGGGAGAAGTGATCCAGAAACGAGGGATCATATAATCTTTGGGTATCTTGTCTTTAATGCCGAAACGAAATTTTAAACCAGCCATCTTTGCAAACCCGGCTTCGTCAATATCTAATGGAAAAGGCGAAATATTTACCTTAAGGTATAGAGAAGGTACAAATCCACGCAGAGGAAAAGTAAATGCACATTTTGAGTTTATCCGAATGCTAAGGCTTCCCTCTGATTCTCAGAAATGACCCTCAATTTCCAAATGAGCCCATCTGCTCACCGAGATATTTCTATGTTAAAAACCTCAGGAAGGCATCTGGCCCAGTTTTCATGATCCCAAATTGCCTTGGTTTCGATTTAATTTTTGTAAATTGGGATTCCCTCAGGAAGAAAGTAAATTTCTCAATCTTTAAAATAACAAGAGACAAGGAATAAAACCTACCATCTTGCTTCATTTTCGGAGCCCATATTATATTCCCAAACGGCAGCTTATTCATCTCAAATCTTCAAATTTATGTTGCAGCACTGATATAGAAATGTATACACTTTATCCTTTTGCGTATGTAATATTGTAATTAGAATAAATGCCCCTTTTCTCGCCATTTCTTCTGAGTGAACCATCCTAGAAAGCTTTTCTTTCGTTTTAATTCATCTTATTATTTCACTGTATGGAACCACCTCAACGTGACGGAATTAAGAGAAAAATATTTAAGTCTTAGTTATGGCCCTTATAAAAACTACTGGTCAATGACCGCAATGACACGATGGTCTAGAAAACACCTCCGATCATATGAAAAGACATGCCGACCCTTATTTGACTAAATGTTTCCCATACCGCAGAATCCGTTAATCTGAATAGCACTGTTCACTCTCCAAATGGATATTACTAAAGGTGACTTCAACCCTACTTGCTCACACAACGAAGCTCAATCTTTTCCATCAGCATCACTGGAAATGTATAGAAGGAATTAACAGAAGCAACACTTCTGTCTGGAGTAACCACATTTCCAGTAACAGCTGATTTAGGTGAAGAGAGTGCTTCTCTTTCCTTCAGAAGAGCAGTAATGTCTGCGACTTCAGAGTAAGAAAGGTTTTTTCCCCCCAAAAAAACCCCACGCCAGTTTGCAGTTGATTATGTGGTGCCGACCGCGACTTCGAATGCAAGATCCTGTATCACTTGCTCTGCTATCAAAGACTAACTGTGAGATACTGGTTTCGAGCTACTTACCGAATTGCCTTTATATAGCAAAACTGAACGCGGAAGTCCGATAAGTTTAGAATCTATCTACCAATGACAATACAAAACGGAAAAAACCATTAGTCTCACCCATACCAATTTAGCATTTAAAACGCATTAAGACCATAAACTGATAAAATAAATACTGTGCGGCCTTTTCTGAGAAATAAAACCTCATTATAGACAGTCATGTGGTTGGTCATGAGATACACAGTTTTTCAAACTGGATGATTATACCAAACAAATTAAGGCAAATTCAAATTATAAAGGAGGGACGCTTTCTAAGTGAACATATATCAACATTTTATTAATTACTTCTAGCAGGTAAAACTTGGTTATTTCGTCCGGGCTCCTCCTTGTCACAGCGAGCTTAAAGAAACTCATGTAATTACTGAAAAAGGAAAAGAGGACCTTGCAATGAAGTAATTCTGAAATGCCCACACAGATTAGAGTCCTCATCATCTAACCCTCTCCTATTTACTGAAAGGTCATTAATAAATTTTAAGTTGATGTTGCTTTGTACACATGTGAGCACGTGCACGCACACGTGTGCACGCACTATCTCATTTAGTTCTTTCTCTGCATTTAAGATGGAAACAGAAAATGCAACGGACTTCTCAACCTTTCCAGATCACTGCCAGCACAGCAACTCTCAAATGACATCATGTTTGGAAGTCTTTAAAGAGAAATCTATAAATTTTTGCCCCAAACAAAAGCAATACCTCATTTGGTATAAAAATAAAATTCCCACCACTAGATGACAGTTATAATGCTGGCTAATGATGAAGAACAATCTATATAACTAACATGAGAGTTAAGGTTTTTTCTCAAAAAAGGTATATAGTGACAAATACTTTGTCGAATGTGAGTATAGGTATCTCTCGTTGTCTTCTTTTTAATTTAAAGAAACAGTTTTCACCTAAATTATCAGCATAAAGGAGGTTTGAAAAACTGCAAAAATTTGGAAACCAATCTGATTCATCTGGTTATGGATATAGAATGGCTATCGGCCCTCAAAAACTGGAAACGGGTACAGTCAAATAGTAACAAAAATTGTGATTTGAGCATAACTCATTTCAGTACCAAGAAAATAATTTGGGGAAAAATACAGATGCCACATTAAATCGATCGTGAAAGATGTAAAGCTGAAACCCCCTTCGAATACATTTTATAAAAGGAGGAGTATAGATAATGGGAATGTATGATTTTTTTGATAAAACAATTCTGCTTCAGTGCAAACACGTAGTCAAAAAAGAAAAGAAAAGAAAAGGTTTCACGCGACTTAGCAGGAACAGTTTCCACAGCCTTTCACACTGCTGATGATTTCCTCCTGCAGTTTCTTCCTCTCCTGCTCCTTGGACGAGCTTTCCTTCTCTGCCTGCCACTTGGAGTTACGAAGGCCCTGCACGTGGGTGCTCTGCGTGTGCCACATTTCCGAATAGATACTGCCGGGCCGCGCGAGCAAACCATGGTGGGTGCCACGTTCGGCCACCTTGCCCTAACACGCGGAAACAAGAGAAACAAAGAGAAAGGTCACAGAACTGGCAAAATAACTGAAAAGGCAGAATCCGTTCTAACGAAGGGCTCCGAAGGGCGCTGAAAGGTTCGCGGTCATAAAAACACCTCTCCCAGCCGCCCGCACGGTACAAGTGGGAAAGATGGAGGCGGGGCTGCTCTCTTCACCGTCGGCGCTCGAAACGCTACGGAATTCCGTGCACTGTAAACCGTGTCGCTGACAGCAAGAAAATCTGAATGTTTCATTTTTCGTTTCTTAGGGCAGAAAAGGTAAACATAATTTCAAGGTGAGATTTTGTGTGACTGGTAAATATTTAAATCACATATACATACATATGAGATTCGACACCTACGCTACGTCACGTGTCCACTGGCTCACAACGCGGGTGACAGCGTAAGCGTCCCATGAGTTAACATTCGGCGTCACCTTAGTACGACTATGTATGTGCCTCACGAGCCAAGCAGGTACTAGGATTTTATATATTTTCCCACATAATGTTTCATTCTTCCTGGACTTAGTAACCGGCACGTTTTTTTCGTTTGCTTATTTCTCTGTGTCGCTATTGGTAAATCTCTCTAAACTTTATTCCAGAATTATAAAACCTGACTAAATACCACTTTTCTCATAATCGACTATATTAGGTAATCTCTTAGTTCGATTCACCCCATTCCCCTTCCAGGATTTCTCCTCTCACTTTTAGGTTCTTGTCTTTATCCTAAATTCTGAAATTTGATGATAACATGTCTTGGCGGGGGTGGGGCGAACTCCTCACAGAAAGGAGAAAGGGAAAACTATTACGATTTCCAAATCTACCAATCAGTGCATGGCACTCCATTTGTTCAGAACATTTACATAGGACTCTTGCAGCGACTCCCTCAGAAGAGATAAAGCAGGCTGTCCCCGTTCTTACTTTCCCCAGGAGGAAAAAGATAAAATGAAAAATGGTCATGTTTGAAAATGACCACTTTATGATCATTTTCTTTCAGACATAAGGATATGTGCCGATATCAGGAAAATGAAAGTATAAAACACACTGAGCAAAGATCCGGCACAGGGCAAAAATGAATGCAGAAAAATTACTAAATACACACAGACGCATACACATCCTTTAAACCTGCTTCTATGATATGAAGATGTCATGCTTTTCGGGTCTAACTTGGTTTTTAGTACTTTAATAAATAGTAAGTGAATCCGGTTTACTCTTTGGATGTGGCGTGCATTATTTCCTATCAAAAGAAAACAGAACCCTCCCGCATTCCTTCTCATTCAAAGAACGCAAATTCTGTATGTTTCTTTAGAAACAATATGGAAGTTGCTTGTGTTTGTAACAATTCCGAATGTTCTTCAAATCCTAAACTTTAAACTTAAATCTCTTACCTGGTCCAAGACGATGATTTCATCTGCATCGACCACTGTTGACAATCTGTGTGCAATGAAAATCGAAGTTCTGTGTTTGACCGCGTCCCTCATGGAGCCAAGAATAGTCTGCAGGTTTCGCAAGAAGAAGAGGAGGGAAAAAAGATCTACCCATTAGGTAAAGGAAAACCGAAATAATCTTATTATATTCCTTAAAGGAACATATAAAATGCCGATTAATTTTGTATCCTATAAACTTTACAGTACGATCAAATATTTGAACTAATCTAACAATTACTAAGAAAAGGAGAAAAATCAACCAAAACGGGAAGGCAAATATGACCGACATATCATGGGAAAACTGTCTTCTAAGATAGGCGACATTTCTTTAAATTACAAAGTCTAGGAGAAGGTGGATGGTCTCTGTACTTCAAAACAAATAAATAAACGACAATGATGAGTGAGTGACACTGGAGCACAGCCAGACAGGATGTTTACCTGGCCAACGCGAGCAAAAACGAAATGAGGAGGGGCCCTAATGGTGGGCTGCAGGGAAACTGCCAACGATCAACAGAGCTACGAGACGAAGGGCACAGGAACATTTGCTTGTCCTTAGTTCACACTCAGAAGACACCAAAGACGACAAAGACAACTGCATATGTGTAACTTGAGAAAACTTCTTTTCCAAAAGTGTTTGACTCCTTCGTGCATTCTGGGAAATACGTTTTTGTTTACCGCCCGCAAGTGTAAGAGCGCCGTGCTGACACACGGCTACCCTGCACATCTGGGTGTAGCACAGCTGGCCAGATGGAAAGGGCGGAGGTGGAAAGGGAGGTGGCTTCCTACAGCCCCCTCTAAACGTTGTGATTATTAAAGAAATAACGTTACGAAGAGCAGGTGCTCACCCAGGAAAAGATGAGCCTGTATTTCACGAGTGTCGGGCCAAATCTAGGAAAATCTGTGATGTTTCTGGCTACTTCTTTTCGTTATCCTCAAGAATTAAACTCTGACTTACTACTGAGTGCTCTGGGCCTATTAAAAAGGGCCATTAAAATTCACCAAAGCTGCTGGTGACTCGTTATCTTGGGGGTCTGTGCGACCTCTGACTGGCTTGTGCTTTGTGAGTTGATAAAGCCGCGTGACTCGAATGATGACTGTTGGGACTTAATTTGTAGTAAACGCGGATGACACATTTTTAGGTGTCGAGTTCTCGGCCGCAGGGTCCTCTGCCGCTCGTGGACAGGGCCCGGCCCCGCTTCCGGCCCCTTCGACTCTAACGAATCCTTAGCCAAACGATTCACTGAGAAATGCAACTGTTTTTAAGCGCACGGCAGGTCACGCCATGTGCCCAGTCTTAACTCCGTGTGCGAATGTCACGTTGCAAGAGCTGTCAAACTGAACGAACGCAGGCCTCCCCGCCACGCCACTCGTCACCACGTCTCCGAGTGCAGCACAGGGAGCGGTGGCAACGGGCGGTCGTGGACTGTGCGGGTTCGTTTGTGAAAACTTCGCCGCTGTCAAGGCATCTGTGTGTAACTCGAAGGTGTTGTCACGAAGCGTAAGGCAGCTGCGGGGCAGCACCGTGACGGCACTGTCGCAGCACCTCGCTGTTCCCCAATGTTTGCTGAATGAGCAGGAAGCGACGGCGGCGCCGCGTGCGTGGCGCGACCCGCGCCTCGGTGAGCTGCTCCAGAAGCGCAGGGCTTTCTGCTGTGCACCGTCACGATCGCTTCCACGACTTGTTTTAGTAACTGTTAAGTGGCAACAGCAGAAAGACTAAAACCTTCCTTCTCTGTCAAATTAGTCAAGCCCTACAGCTTTGCGAGATGCGAGGGTAACGCAACGACGTGTCACACGGCTCCGAGGGGACACGTGTCTGCAAAGTGACAAGATGTCAGTTCAGCGCG